AAAAAACAAAGGTGCATTTTGGTTTTCCTTGGTAGAAATCATGTCCTTAAACTGCAATGGTACAAATTTGTTTCTTTTTCTTAAGGTACAATTGTGTCTCATAAAAAGGTACTACCCCAGTGACAAGGGTTTGTACCTTCTTTTGTACAATATTGTACTATTTTTTCTGAGAGTGTACTAACATGAACAAACAACAAACAATTTATTTCAGTATTATAATATTTTGCTGACATTAGTTAATGAACATAAAGTTCTTCATGTTAACCCCCCAGTGCATTACCTAATGTTAACAAGCATGGATTTGAATTTTAATAATGCATTAGTAATGTATAAACAATGCTTAATTTATAAATGCTGTACTAGTACCCAGGGACGGGCAGTATTTATGATACATGTATTTCAAATCCGTATTTTAAATACAAAATTGTATTTTGTATTTGATAGGTTTGATGAAAATGGCTTAATATTTTATCAAATTACTTTAGAGTTCTCTTATTTTTGTATTTTTTTAAACATTTATTTATGTGCTTTTTGCATTTTATAAAACTACAACAATACTACAATAAAATACAAAAGAGAAGAAGAAAAAAACAATATATTACAATACTATAATAATACATATAAAATACAATATGTAAAAACTCTAACCTATGACAGAACAACTGAACAACAAAACACAGAGGGACAAACAACTGGTCATTTAATGCATAAACAAAAATTATAAAGTAACATTGTTCTTGTATTACCAGAAAAATGCATGATCCTGACTATTGTTTTATTGTCAAATAATAGTTTGGGCACATTATTAAAACATTATAGATTATAAATAGTGAATATTGATTACACTCAATCTTTAATTACTATGTTACTGACAGGGGTCATTGGTTAAGCCTGCGTTTCTTCCAAATCCATTAAGATGTTATAATATATGTTCCCATGTTTTATCAAATATTTGCAATTTGTCGTTATTGATATATCTCAACCTCTCCAAAGCAAGCATGTTTTTGATATCTCTACCCCACATACCAAATTTAGGTACAAATTCATTTTTCCACATTCTCAAAATCACCCTTTTGGCAATTACGTACCAAATAACATGGCTTGTCTTTCATATTTATTATGTTAATTGAGCATGCATGCATATGCTTAAGGCCTTTTTCCCAACTCTCCAAATCTATCTCTAACCCTAATTCATTCTCCCAGGCTGGTTTAACTTTGATTTCATCCACAACTTCCTTTCTTAACAGGATGCTATATAAATATTACACAGCTCCTCTATGTATAAGATTAAACCGGTTAATTTCTTCAAGCACTATTTTTGTATTTATTTTGTAACAATAGCAAAAAAAAAAAAAAAAAAAAAAAAACGAGGTTTCTGAAAAATTCTGTGAGCAAAAAATTACAATCACTCTTTATTTAGGATCATTTTAAAGTATTAAGAGGTTGAATAATCATTGTACAGAGATGATGGCAATTTTACTGGTCACATCTGCTATCAAACATTGTTTACTTCACTAAGTCAGTTTAGTGGGGAAAGGATTGGTCGAATAGGTCTAATTGATGGAAGTTTTGCAAAGAAATGTCATGCTCTGTAGTAAAAGTATTTTGTAGAATTTTTTTATAAAAAATGCTGAATTTTATTTTTATACACATTGTGGCTGCTGTGGTTTGTAGTTTATTTTGATACACTTAAAATGAAGGTATTTGGTATTTTATTTTAAAATACATTTCAATGTTTTTTTGAAAAACCCTTGTAGTACCATGCTGTACTAGTACCTTCTTAGCTCATGTCAGTAAATACATTAACTAATATTAATAATGTAAACTTATTGTTAAAGTGTGATCGAAAAATGTAAAGTCTGACCATCTGTCTTCAGTTATTGAATCCAAATAAATAGTGTATAGAAAGTAATAGTGTAAACAATCCAAAAATGGAACAGTGAAAAAAATAGCTGAATTAAAGACTATGGAGCTTATTATGGACTTTCAACAAATTATGACAAAAAAAAAAAAATCTTTCATTCATTTATTCAGCATTTGCATTTACACATATATATTACAGTCAATTTAGCTTATTCGATTCACCCATGAAGCATGTCTTTGGACTGTGGGGGAAACTAGAGAACATGAAAACTGGGAAACGCCAACTGACCCACCAGCCCCCACCCCCCAGGCCCCCACCACCCCTCCAAAAAAAAAACTAACATAAATGTTGTGACAGTCCGTCTTTGATTACTAAATCCAAACCATCTTTAGAAACGATGCAAAAGCAGCTAAATTGGAGACACCATCGTCTGTTTCTTACTTAACGTTTGAAATCACCTAAAGCCTCTAGAAAGACAAAAATCCTCACATGAAACATGATGGTTGAGGATTATTTGATATAAATCTGTGTTAATCTTCTGCCCTCAGACTGGGTTTCGTATGCACGATTTTTCTCATCCTCCTCACGCGTGGTGTATGAGTGAATGTGTGTGTGTGTGTGTGTGTGTGTGTGTGTGTGTGTGTGTGTGTGAGTGTGGAGGAGGATTACACATAAAAGCATGACCTCGTAGACTTGCAGTAAAATGATGAGGTCATGCTCATCCAGGACACTAATCTCTCTCTCTTGTGCTCAGGTGATTTCACTCTTCACTGGGAATTGTATGGGAGAAGGGGGATCCAAGATTTTGACATGTACTTGTTTTGGATGTGCTGTCGCCTCAGCAAGAAAGTCGCTGGTTCGAGCCTTGGCTGTGTCAGTTGGCATTACTGTGTGGAGTTTGCATGTTTTCTCCATATTGGCGTGGGTTTCCTCCGGGTGCTCCGGTTTCCTCTTTAGTCCAAAGACATGCGCTATAGGTGAAGTGAATAAACTAAATTGTCCGTAGTAAATATATGTGAATGAGAGTATATGGATGTTTCCCAGTACTGGGTTGCAGCTGAAAGGGCATCCGCTGTGTAAAACATTTGCTGGATAAGTTGGCAGTTCATTCCACTGTGGCAAACCCTGATGAATAAAGGGACTAAGCCAAACAAAAACGAATGAGTGAAACTTTGCTATTGTTAGAGAGTCAGTTTCAAGTATTAAACTACTTTAAAAGTACATTTGTATTTAATTTTGATTTTAATACGTTTTTGTAATGTAGATGAGGTACTACTGTAATGAAAAAGAAAACTGTTAACCCTATGGTCCTTCTGTGGTTCATTGAGCTGATTGAGATGCTACTGTACACATACAGAAGCACTAAAGCCATGAAGAACTAATTTACTCTCTTTATAGTTCTTTAAAAGTGTTTTTGTTTAGTTAGAGAAATAATAAAAATGACTTTAAATACAGTGCTTCCTGAAGATAATGTGTTTCTCAATCTTTTTGGCCTCAAGGCCCCAATAGGTAAATATTCCAGCTTTTGCATATCAATCTAAATCTTTTTACAGAGCCATTTTGTGAGTGTAGACCTGTTTTGTGAGACTATAAAATTTCACATTAATGTGCGTTTTGTACTAAAGTACTAAATGTAAAAAGAAATGTACTAGATCTACTAAAGTACTAAATTAAATACAGTTGTTTTAACACATTTTTGGGTCAAATACAACTGAGATTAATTACTTTATTTAGACTGAAATTGCTCTGGTTTCCCCCACAGTCCAAAGATATGCGGCACAGGTGAAATTAATAAACTAAATTGGCTGTAGTGTATGTGTGTAAATGTAAGAGTGTATGGGTGTTTCCCAGTGATGGGTTGCAGCTGTAAGGGCTTCTGCTGCAGAAAACAAATGCTGGATAAGTCGGCGGATCATTCCGCTGTGGCAACCCGTGATTAATAAAGGGACTACGCCGAAAAGAAAATGAATGAATGAAAGGATAGACTGAAATCAATTGAATCAATTGTTTATTTGATCCAAAACTGGGATGAAACAGTCGTTAATTTCCTTCAACTTAATTTCCTGCTTTATGAGGGGTCGCCACAGGAGAATGGACCAATTACTCTGGCATATGCCTTTATTGGTGGATCTCTCCTGCCTCGCCCATGCACAAACTTGTGAACCCCAAGTGCTGGGAAACACTCATACCCTCTTAATAATAGAATAAGACTAGTATAAAACATATTGGTTAAACAACACCTGACTTTACACTTACTTTTCTAAACAAGTCTTTAGGGCTGCCTTACCGTTGTTCACACACAACACTGACCCTGATATTGAATTAAACATTGATCTGCCTTGGCGTGAAAATGGCATTGCTGGGGAAATGCTAATATTGTAATGAATGTTGTATTTAACTTGTTTCAGTAATTCATTCATTCATTCATTTTCTTTTCAGCTCAGTCCCTTTATTAATCCAAGGTCGCCACAGCGGAATGAACCGCCAACTTATCCAGCACGTTTTTACGCAACGGATGCCCTTCCAGCCGCAACTCATCTCTGGGAAACATCCACACACACTCGCGGACAATTTAGCCTACCCAATTCACCTGAATCGCATGTCTTTGGACTGTGGGGGAAACTGGAGCACCTGGAGGAAACCCACGCGAACGCAGGGAGAACATGCAAACTCCACACAGAAACGCCAACTGAGCCGATGCTCGAACCAGCAACCCAGCAACCTTCTTGCTGTGAGGCGACAGCACAACCTACTGCGTCACTGCATCGTCCTGTTTCAGTGATATTTTCATTAATATTTATTTCTGTATTGTCATATTGCCAGATGACCTGGAGTATACTACTGGCATTACATATTCAGAATACTATATATATATATATATATATATATATATATATATATATATATAGTCTATAAGCTGAGGCTCACATTGGTTTGACATGAGTCTGCTGTTGTCTCCACCTCCTGCATGTGCAGCCCACCCCTGATGTGTAAGCTAAACCCCCACCTCTTGTTGTCCCCTCGGTGCTGAGATGGAGATGTAGAGAGACGCGTCCTGCGGGTGGACACATCGCACAGCAAAGGCTGTTGATTTCGAGAGTCGACGAATTTATTGATGAACTTAATGCATCTTTAGGATCAATATTATTCCGTTATATTTTGTTTCTTTTCATTACTGATTTTTTTAACCGCCACCCTGAAGTTCATCGTTGTCATTTTGGCCGCCGGGATGGTGGCGTTCATCGGAGCAGTCATCTGCATCATCGCCGCGGTCCACAGCGGATCCCCACCGGCATCCGCCGCCGCCGCGCAGCCCCTGGCCGACAACCAGTCCCTCTCACCGGACGCAGCCGGGAAAGCGATTTCCTCCGGGTCCGTCGCCCGGGCAGGACCGCTGGATGCTCTTCACGGTACTGATGCGTCAAGCAGGGAACGAGGAGGACCGGAGGCGCCAACGTTCTACGGTCTAACGGGACTAGGGACCGGAGGCAGCGAACAGCAGGTCACCTACAGCAGACTCATCTGCACCCCTGTCCCCGCCGGTGAGTGCAACCCGAAAAACTTTCAGCAACAAGCTGACGACCAGTCGTTATATGCTGGAGAGGACTGGGGATACCTCCGCACCACTGCCGAGGAGCTCCGGCAGACCGTCCTGCAGCAGAAGGATGAGATCCTCACAGACCAGAGAACCATCCGGGAACTAACGGGAAAGCTGTCGGAATGCGAAAGTGGCATGAAGGGACGGAAGGTCCCGGAACGAAGCGCAGGGGGTGTTGGGGAAGCGCGCAAAGAGAATAAGGAGCAACTCATGATGCGGGACGATGCGGGATCCTCAATGCGGACGGCTCATGCGATGGAGGAGCTGGTGCACGCCATAACTCAGATGAAAGACCGCATTGAGAAACTAGAGGTAAGGAGAGCGCAAGACCTTATGATGTTCAACAGTAGTCGAGATAGGCTAGTGGGAGAGAATCAACAGTTTTATTGGTTAATGACATATAGACTCATCCTTAATCCTAAAGTGATTAACTTGGGAAACCTATTAATATGTAGTTTTATAGCGTGCCAAATATTCGTAGACTCTTGCTGTTATCAATCGTGCACGATTAAAATTCATTTTACAATTTTATATACATATAGATACGTTTTAAAAAATGGCATGAATTTCCAAGTCATGTATTGGATGTCATGAAGTTTTTTTAATGGCTTCTTTTGTCCTTAATTCTAGCTTAAAACATAATACTAAATTGCCTTTATAATAGTTGCATGGCAACATCATGGCTTCCTTTGTGCTTGTCATAGTTATATAGCCTAGTATACACACTGATGTCATTATTGACTCTTTATATACAAACAAATACCCACTGAAAAGCCACTGCCCCAGTGACAGCTCTCATACCTTTATTTGAGTGTATGCAATGCCTCATTAGCTGTCTTGGGCTGTCATATCGTGTCTATAGAATACCTCTGTCTGCAGAGGCCCATTCACTTTTCCAAATACAGATTTTGTCATTAGAGGTGTCTGCAAATGTCCATGCACAAATATCTCACAAATATTTGTTGTAAACTTGAAGAGAATGTTAAGACTATTGGAATAAGTCAGCAAAATAGTATGGGGCATAAGCATGTGTGCCAAACTCATTTATCAGCACTAATTCACAGTTGAGTTGAAAACTGTAGACATAAGCATGAAGTAAAAGTTGAGAAAGAAGTATACCCCAGCTTGAAGCTGTTCGCATGTTAAATTGGAGCCAGTTTGTGATGTGTCAACCATCTATGAACATCTATATTTGCCAAAAAAAAAAAACGTTTAATTTTCAGCACAATATAAAACTAACACAAAAAATAAAGTTACCATAGTTTTTCCCTCCAAAAGCTGCATAATGTTGAAATAAATTGAAAAACTCAGTGGTTTTCACATGGAGTGGGGTGGAGATTTTTCCAAGATGGCGAACATGTCAACTTTGTTGGGTTGTGGCTGGAAGGGCATCCATGCGTTAAATTCCACTGTGGCGACCCCAGATTAATAAAGGGACTGAGCCGAAAAGAAAGTGAATGACTTGATATTTACCTGAGCTGTTTCAAGTACCATGAGAAAAAAATTTGTTTATAGTCTAATTCAGAATAATGTTAAAAATGTTAATTTAAACAGGCATTTTGAATAGGCGTACAGCGTCATCGACCACTTAATAAAACAAATGTGCATCTAGAGCTGTGTTATGATGCTGCCTGACCTGTTGATAAACGAATTTATAATCACCTGGGGCTGTCTTCAACTCACAGGAGTGCTGCAGTGAGCTCGTAAAGTTCATCTCATCTAGAGCTGAATTGCGTTTCAGCTCACGTACAGTCGCGCGCCTGTGCCATGATTTATCGCTGCGCGCTACATGCGCGTCCCTGATTGGGTTTCCATGGAAATATAGCTTGCGTTTCTTGCTTTATGAGCCGATAGGAGCGACAAATTGCATCCTCATCAGGACCCCCTCTAGCGCATCTGTTTAACCTCAATCTAACCCTGATCTCAGTCTAATGGTAATCTAGACAGGCTGCAAAAGTAAAATAGCCCATGTTTTCCATGGAAAGAAAATGGATGAATAAAAGAATGTATGCTTTGAAAGTCAAGGATATATTTAGCCTCCTCCAATCATTGACTACAGCATGTGTGGCAGCAGGGGAGCGATGAGAAACATGACACAATCCACTGAAAGCATATTATAGACTCCTGCAGTGTGACTGCGAATGGCAGTTCCATGAGCTAGTTGGTGCAGTTCAACGGATCATCACAGAATTAGCCATGCATACTATTAGAACCATGCATAAAAATTTTATGATGCGTGTGGGTCTTACTGAAAATATGCTAATCATGAAAATGAGTGATAAGTGAACGCCATGCTGAGAGTCATTTGACTTTACAATTGCTAAACACTTTATAATTGCATGAATTAGTTTGCTGACTGTCTGTTAGAATTATTGTATTTATGCAATATTGATGTTTGAGATTATTGCACACATATTTATCACACATATTTATAACGTTGACTTAGCAAAATGTTTCAGTTAGAAATTTAGATCATCCCAGAATATATCTAGCATCATTTACTGCCTCTCATATCATTCCAAACCCATTAGACTTTGTTAATTTCCAAAATAAAAGATGTTTTTAATCAAATCTGAGGGATTTTTGTCTGAGAGTTCAACAAGATTGTTTTTTTTTTTTGATGACCAGATTTACTCTACTTTACCTGTACTGTAGCATTCAGTTCAGATACTTTAATTAATATGCAGAAAGAATGCACAGCATCGAAAAGAATGACATACGACACAAGCAAAGACAAACAAAAACTGCAGGTAAAACTGTTAAAAAGCAAGATTAATGTTGTAAGTAAAGGTAAATAAATAAATAAACAGTGAATGGACAGCTAGAATTAACAAGGGCACATTTAAGAGAGTTCTAGCCTTTTATTCACTTAATAATGTACACTTAAAAAAAGTTTCTCTAATTTCTGACAGAAAGATCTTGTCAACACATACACATGACTAGATATTTTTCAAGACACTTCTACACAGCTTAAAGTGACATTTAAAGGCTTTACCAGGTTAATTAGGTTAAGGCAGGTTAGGGTAATTAGGCAAGTTATTGTATAACAATGGTTTGTTCTGTAGACTATTAAAAAAAGTAATAGCTTAAAGGGGTTAATAATAATTTTGGCCTTAAAAATGTTTTTTAAAAAATTGAAAACTGCTTTTATTCTAGCCGAAATAAAACAAATAAGACTTTCTCCGGAAGAAAAGAAAATGTTATCAGACATGCTGTGAAAATGTCCTTACTTTGTTAAATGTCATTTGGGAGATATTTTAAAAACAAAAAAGAATCAAAAGGGGGCTAATAATTCTGGCTTTAACTGTATATATTTTAAAAATAGACTATGCCATTGCTTTGGGATACAGACAGGAAAAATAATTTGGACAAATGAACATCTCTGTCTAAGTGAAGACTTGGCCAGTGCTTTGCAAATCACAAAACAAAAAGACTTTTACTCTACCTGTTGGACTACACTTAATGGCACTGAATAAAAACTTTCAATGTGCACAAAGATGAGCTGCCAATATTCTGTAAAATCACCAGCGTTCTTGTGTTAAGAAAAACGTTCATTTTTTTGGTTAAAAAAACTTGTTACAGCACTCTTAAATGTGCATTGTGATGCATTTAGGTAATTGGAAATGAGTTTGATGCTGTTGTGAAAGCTGATGATCTTAAACCGTAAATCTTATTACATTTAAAATGCACATGAACCAAATATGAAAACAAGCTTTTATGCTTTTCCTCTGTTTTATAATGCATGACTAGAACAGTATGTATTGTATTTATAAAGTATGTGAATATGTTAATAAAACAAGAAAATAATATTTAACTCTTGAGCCAGTGTTAAATTGTTAACACTATTGAATATGGTAATTTAACTCTGGCCAGTGTGGATAATATGTATATGTATATGTATGCTGCTATGAAACAATAATCATTTTGAAAAGCTCTTTACAAATAAACTTGAATTGAATTAACACACATTACTAAATACAAACAAAAACTCCACCTTACCTGCTTGGTATGTAAGAATGAACCTCATTGGTTCTCACTCGTCAAGCAAGCATGGTTCCACCACTGTGGCCAAATCTGAATGCGGTATCGCTGATCAATCTTTACATGTGAATAAAGTCTAAATTACCTCTAATCGTCACAAACCATGTCCTTATAGAAGACATGAAATCAAAATGGATTTGCTTTTAGATTTCTTAATTTTTAAGATTTGATTTTCTCAGATTTGATTAACAAGAGACCATGGGTTTGGAATATCTGAGGATGAAATGACAGAATAGCTATTTTCGGGTGGACTGACTTTTTAACAAAAGATTAATGTCACCTGATTACTTTCTTGCTTACAGTCTGAAATGGCGGCACCAGCGTTTAACCACACAGACTCAAGCTCACAGAAATCTGCAGGTGCTCCTCGTACACCAGTAGCAGCTGCACAGAGACGAGTGGAGGATCTGGAGGGAGAACTGAAGAGGAAGATTAAACTGCTGGAGGAGGAGAGGAAAGCGCTACGCAAAGAGACGCAAAAACATCAGGATCATATTGACTATGGACTGGACACTGTACACCAGCGGATCAGCAGCCTGGAGAAAGGTGAGGCAGAGGTCGGGTTTACTGCTTGATGAAATATTAATTCATGAGTAATTATACCAGGATCTTCTTAAAGGTGGATTCCGACCAAAAATAGTTGCAGGATTTATGACTGACTTGTTATATCGAGCAACAAGAGAAATGTTTCTTCTTTATTTTTCCTTTTTTTTGTCATTACAATTGAAGTTAAGCTCTAACATTGTTTGGTTCCCAGAAATCTTAATAATATTTGATGAAAATGTTTTTTAAGCATAAAGACAATTTATGTGATATAAAGCATTATATATCTATTTTCTTGTTAAAAACATTAAAGGTGTTACAAAAGACCACTACTAAATAGTTGTTTGGTGTAAAAAAAGTTTATGCACCAATTTTTTTGTCAGGCAAATTTAGATGCTCATTAATTAGTCCTATTAGGTCTTTAAACTTTGTCACTATGCTTCAAACCACCAATTGAAGACTTACTTGTCACTTGTCACTTTAAGACATTTAATTGGCAAATGGGAAAATGCTAATAATATGACAAAAAAAAGAAGTAGCAGTCAGAATAAGTATGCTCATTTTACATAAACATGTATCATATTACAAAAATCAGGAACTAAGCTAAACGAAAATGAATGAATGAATGACTATATTATATTACAAGGCAAGTGTATTTATATATGGGGGGCTGGTCAGGTTTGTATTAAGGTCCTAGGTCATTAGTGTTTTATAGACAAGTAGTAATACTTTAAAACCTATTCTGAATGAAACTGGGAGCCAGTGTAAAGACCTGAGAACAGGTGTGATGTGCTCTGATTTCCTGGTTTTAGTCAGAATCCTGGTAGCAGCGTTCTGGACTGTCTTTTTGGGAAGGCCGGAACAGTAATCCACCCTGCTGCTGATAACAGTATGAACAAGTTTCTCTAAGTATTCACTGGAAACGAAGCATCTAATTATTGCAATGTTTTTGACATGATAGTATGTTGATTTATTGACTGCTTTGCCATGACTACTAAAACTCAGATCTGACTCCAGAATCACACAAGATTGTTGACCTTATTTTTTGTTGTTTGACCCTTAGAGCCAAGGTACGCATTCACCTTGAGAACCTCATCTCTGTTCCCAAACACAATGACTTCAGTGTTCTCTTTGTTTAACTGAAGAACGTTTTGGCACATCCACTTGTTAATTTCATCAATGCATTGCTAGAGGGTGTCAATGGGGCTGTAGTCATTAGGCAGTATAAGGCTATGTAGATCTCAGTGTCTTCAGCATAGTTGTGGTAGGAGATTTGGTTCTTTCTCAATATTTGGCTCATGCAGTGGGAGCATATATAGGTTGAACAGTATATTATTATATTATACTAAATAAGGATGAAACCTTATTTTGCCAATATTTAAAAATTTTGATTTCACAAAACATCCAGAGATATCAAAGTAGGTGCTTTCCTTGCATTTATGTTTTCTATTTATATATGATCACAAATATCAAAGGATAAAATGGGACGTTTCATCTAAGGCTCATACTAGGAATCAAAGGGATGTATGAAATTGTTATATAAGTTTAGTTTAAAATAAAACAAGTTAAATTCAATTAACTTTGGTCTGTTTGCTAAACCAAAAATGTCTTTTTATTGGATCTTTTATCTTATTTGTCTCTTGTTCTTTCTCTTTCTCCTATTTGTTTCACAGGTCTTTCTGAGAACAAGTTTCCAGAGGGTTACAGGCTCTCATTCCCCATCCGCAGCTCCTCCATGTATGCCATCATAAAGCAGGAAATCCCAATCCTCCACGCTCTGACTGTCTGCATGTGGCTCAAACCTGCAAAGAGCATCCTGGGAACTGTGGTTTCTTATGCTGTTTCTGACCAGAACCATGAGTTTGTGCTTCAGCAGCTGGTTCATGGGCCCATTGAGCTGATCATTAATAATGAGGTAGAGCATCACAGTATTTGACAAAGACGAATGAGAACGTAGTGCTGCAGCGAGATGTCAAAATCTAGAAGATTAATTCACAACTGGTTCCCTTGAGATTTCCCTTTGGGTTTTTCTTTTTTAATGGGGTCTTTATATTTATGACTGTGGGAGATGTGGTAAACATTACTTAATGATGGAGCATAAACTGCACACAGTCACACTACAATTGGTGTGATCTTATCTAGTTGCTTATTAGTGATTTGAGTTGTTTTGAAGGAAACATAATAGCTTCTAAATTGGTCTTTTATAAAATTTGCAAACATTTTTCTATTTTAATAATATAGTTAAATATTGGTAGAGGGTGGCACGGTGGCTCAGTGGTTAGCACTGTCGCCTCACAGCAAGAAGGTCACTGGTTCAAGTCCAAGCAGCGTCAGTTGGCATTTCTGTCTTGAGTTTGCATGTTCTCTCTGTGTTCATGTGGGTTTCCTCCATGTGCTCTGGTTTCACCCACAGTCCATAGACATGCGCTATAGGTGAATTAGATGAACTAAATTGGCTGTAGTGTATGAGTGCATGTGTGAATGTGATAAATAAGGGACTAAGCCAAAAGAAAATGAAAGGGTGGTTGAATATTGGTGGAGAAAAATATTCAAGTATTGTCAAGTTATGTTTATCATAGACCTTATTGGATATAAACACCCATAGGAACATGTTTTGGGAACTATTTTTCTAGGTTTGATGTAACTACTACGGCCCAATCCCAATTCTGTTTTTTTACCCCTACCCCTTGGCCCTTGAAGCAGAGTGTGAAGAGGAAGGGGAAGGGCTTCAAAATTTTCCCTTAAGAAATGGGACAGCACTACTACATCTGCACATGTCTGTCACACGTAAATAATGTTCTGGTGAATCCAAGTGCGAGTGATACAAATAATAATTTATTAACAAAGTCAAAACAAAAGCAAGGAATGAGTGCAGTGCTAGAACTAGGAGAAACAGGGCTGGAATCAGGCAGGAAACAGGGTCCAGTAAAAACTCCTCAGGTCCTGAGCACAGACAAGAAGCACCATAAGCACATGTAACGAACTGACAATGAACACTGAACATGTAGCACATATATAGGCACGATAATGAGTATCAGCTGGCGAACAATCAGTCCAGCTGAGTACCTGTCATGACATGTGACCAAAACAAATACACGTGGGCCACAAAAACAAAACAAACCCACATGATCAAACAGACACTCCGGAAGAGCGCACAAACCTGCAACCGTGACAATGTCATTACGATTTTTTGCTTCATATGAGATCGACGATGGAGACTGCTGTAGTTATTCCAGTTGCATTATTTTTTGGTATTTATCTTCAGGAAATTACTGAAGGCATGTAAGATCGTAACTATACTGTGTTTACACTGTGTCCATATTCATCTATGTAAATACAGGAAACAACTTTAACAGTTTGCCAGACACTGTAAAAAGGTCATGCCCAGTCACTAGACTTTTCTGAAAGGGTATTCCAGTGTCATCGAGTGTCAGAATGTTGTGGGACTGCTATACAGGAGTTATTAATATGAATTATAGATATCGAAATTTAGCAGTTTTATTTTAGCGTTTTTTTAAAAGCATGATGGTAAACATAAATGTATTAAAACATGTGCTGGTTTGTTGTAAAAATTCGTAATAAGGACCAAAATATTCATTTGTGCATCTCCTTACTTCCGGGTGGAGTCATGCTGCCTTTGTAGCTGGTGTATTCTGTGAAATTTTTTTACCCCTTGGTTTTGAGTGTGGTCCTGAAAAATCTTTGTTTCAAGGGCTATCTAGCCCATCCCTTTAACCCTGGTTTATACTCGACATGTCCTCTTGTTCGCTTGAGTGCAAGTGGGGAATGTGATGTCATCGTGGAGATTGCAGATGTTTGCTTTGGGTGCGCGCGACATGATTTCGGCTGGTGGTGCGTATAGCATTTTTTTAAAACTCCAGCGAAAAGTGCACGCGGCGCCGCGTTTGATTTGAGTTGAATATGAAACACTTTGAAGAGATTTTGTCTGAAACGGTGTGACTGTACAGATATCTTTATGATCCCTGATCATAGAGATAACCAGATGATCAATAATTCTTGGCTACAAATAGCAACAGCCATGGAAAAGGAGAAAGTTTTTGTTAAAAGGTTTGGAAAAACCTGAAGGATAAGTTTTTAAAAAACAAAAGAGGTCATGGCGAAGTGAGCCAGGTACACAATCACAGAATATGTTTTTCCACCAGTCATAGATTTTTACTCTGATGTATAAATACAATTTGGAATTTAAAACAATGTAATAGTTACAAAACTATTAAAACAGATTATTTGTTTGATAACTGGAAAGAAATATTTGAACCTATCGGTTTACAATATACTGATGTCGTTTCTCTAGGTTTTATTTGTGATAATTGTTGTGATGAGTCAGAAGGCATTGAATCCATTTGCAAGCTTTATTAAGAGCACACATACAAACAAACACAAAGGGGCAATCCAGGAGACAGAACGTGGGACAGGCAAAAGTTCAAAGGCAGGCAGATATCTTACTGGTCAGAATAACAGGCTGGAGATCAGGGGCAGGCAGATGTCTTTCGTAATCGTAGAACAAGCACAGGGTCAGAAACACAGATCAGTCCGAAGCAGGGAGTATGGAACGCTCAGAAATGACAGCCAGGCAAATCAAGACTTCGCAACGAACCGGAGCGTGAGTGTGGTATATATACACGAGAGCTGATGAGTTGCACCTGGACCGTAATCAGTGCCAGGTAGCAGGGCTTATGGGATTTTGAGTCCGTGAGTCGAATCAGAATTCTGGCGATGGTTCCCTCTGGTGGTGCACAAGAGGGTTGGCATCGCCCTCATTTACAACAGAACCCCCCTCCTGCGAGCGGCTCCTGAAGCGAGAAGGCACCTGACGCCGGGGTCTACCGCGCTGTCGGGGGGCTGGTTTCTCTGGGAACCTTTGATGAAACTCTTCCGTGAGAGTTGGGTCTAGAATATCTCTAGCATTCACCCAGGACCGTTCCTCTGGACCGTACCCTTCCCAGTCCACCAGATATTGGAGGGCGCCACCCCGACGTCGAGAGTCCAGCACTTCTCGAACGAGGTAAGCTTCCTCGCCCTCGATCATGACAGGTGGAGGGGTCCTGGTTTCCGATTCCTCCTCAACCGCCTCCTCTCGTGGACCACCAGCGGGTTTGAGTAATGACATGTGGAAAGTAGGAGAAATACGATAATGATTAGGCAAGGCTAAGCGAAAAGACACTGGAGTAATCTGGCGTACAATTTTGAATGGCCCTACATACCTGGGACTGAGTTTGCGGCAGGGCAATCTCAGACGAAGGTCTCGTGTCGACAACCACACCCACTGCCCCGGTTGATACGTGGGTCCCTGGCGTCGGTGACGGTTCGCCTGAATCTCTCTCCTCCTGACTGCCCTCATGAGATGTCTGTGAGCCTGGTTCCAGACATCCTCACTCCGCTGCAGCCAATCCGTGACAGCAGGTAACTCAGTGGGTTCTCCGGACCATGGAAACAGGGGTGGTTGGTAGCCAAGAATACATTTGAATGGCGTGATACCCGTGGCTGGCTTTATTAATGAATTTTGTGCATATTCTGCCCACATCAGATAGCGACTCCAGTCGTGCTGTTGCTGATGACAGTAGGAACGTAGAAATCGAATGACTTCTTGATTCATACGTTCAGTTTGGCCGTTGGATTGAGGATGGTACCCTGAGGTGAGACTAACATTAATATTTAGATTTTTACAGAGAGCGGACCATACCCGGGAAGTGAATTGGGATCCCCTGTCTGAGACGATATCATCAGGTAAGCCAAACATTCGAAATACATGATTGCACAGGGCTTCTGCGGTTTCAAAGGCAGAGGGCAATTTGGGCAACGGTATTAGGCGACAAGCCTTGGAGAAACGATCAACCACCGTGAGAATGACTGTGTTGTTCTGGGAAACAGGGAGATCCGTAATGAAGTCCACCGCTATATGGGACCAGGGCCGTTGCGGAACCGGTAGCGGTTGTAACAGGCCAGCAGGGGTTTGGTGAGATGCCTTCGTGCTTTGGCAAATTTCACATTTCTGAACATAATTAATTACATCCTTCGTGAGGGACGGCCACCAGAAACGGGCTTTGACTAACTCCAAAGTTGCAGTGATGCCTGGATGCCCCGAACTGGGAGTGTCATGAATATGGGTCAGTAATCTGGTACGTATGTTATTGGGTACAAAAATCAGGTGATTCGGACAGTCTACTGGAGGGTTGTTTTCTCGGTTGGCCTCTTGGATCTCGGTAAGTATGTCCCACTGTACTGGAGCCACTAGTAAGTTCGTAGGAATAATGGTTTCATCACTAATTGGGGTTTTATCCTCTGATAGCCTGGATAGTGCATCTGCCTTACTATTTTTACTCCCTGGTCTATAGGTGACAATGAAGTCGAATCTGGTGAAGAACAAAGCCCAACGAGCTTGTCTGGGATTTAGACGTTTGGCTGAGCGAAGATATTCCAGATTCTTGTGGTCAGTTAATATGGTGAATTGCTGACTAGCCCCCTCCAGCCAGTGTCTCCATTCTTCCAAGGCTAATTTCATTGCCAGTAATTCGCGATTTCCCACATCATAGTTTCGTTCTGCGCTGGTCAATTTACGGGAGAAGAAGGCACATGGATACATTTTGGATGGTTGACCCTGACGTTGAGATAACACAGCACCGACTCCTGTGTTGGATGCATCCACTTCCACAATGAAAGGTAGGTCTGGGTTGGGATGACGGAGAATAGGAGCTGTGGTGAATTGAGTCTTCAGATCGCTAAATGCTTGGCGTGCTTCAGAGGACCAGGATAGTTTGTGGGAATTTCGTTTGGTCATGGCTGTTAATGGTGCGGCTATTGAACTAAAGCCTCTGATAAACCGTCTATAGAAGTTGGCAAAACCTAGAAATCGCTGCAACTCCTTGAGATTCTGGGGTAACGGCCATCGTTGAACTGCCTGTACCTTCGTATCATCCATGGTAATCCCTTCTGCACTGATGACGTATCCCAAAAAGGCGATCTGTGTCTGGTGAAATTCACACTTCTCTAATTTGGCGTACAGACGATGTTGAATCATGCGTTGCAACACTATACGTACATGTTCAACATGTTCCTTCATCGTGTTTGAATATATGAGGATGTCGTCGATGTAAATGATGACCCAGCGATCCAGCATATCCCGAAAGACATCGTTCATAAAAGATTGGAACACGGATGGACAGTTTGACAGGCCGAAGGGCATTACCGTGTACTCATAGTGCCCCCTAGTGGTGGAAAACGCGGTCTTCCACTCGTCACCAGCACGGATTCTGACAAGGTTATATGCACTGCGAAGATCAAGCTTGGTATAATATCTAGCCTTTCTTAATTGTTCCAGGGCAGGAGGTACGAGGGGTAATGGATAGCGGAATTTTACGGTGATTTCATTGAGCCCTCGGTAATCAATACAGGGACGTAAACTGCCATCTTTCTTCTTTACAAAGAAGAATCCAGCTGAAGCAGGAGATGTAGAAGGTCGGATGAAACCCTTGGCCAATTCTTCGTCGATATATTCAGACATTGCCTTGTGCTCAGGTTGTGACAGAGGGAATATTCGACCCGTTGGAGGACTTGAACCTGGAATTAACTCAATAGCACAATCACTTGGTCGATGTGGGGGAAGTTGAGTAGCTTTTTGTTTGCTAAAAGCTTCATGTAAGTCATGGTACTCAATGGGGATTAGTTCATCAACGAGTTCAGGTAACACATTGGTGGTTCGTAATGGAATTTTGTGAATGGGCTGGATGCACTGTTTCATGCATGACTCACTCCACTGCAATATCTGTCCGTCCCTCCAGGAGATATGAGGGTCATGTCGCCTTAACCAGGGCAGTCCCAACACCAGTGGATGATTAACTGAATCAATAATGTAGAATTGCATTTCTTCAATGTGTAGAACACCAACTTGTAACTGTAGCTTATTCGTAATCATACGGATGCGTCCTTCACCCACAGGACGACCGTCTAGTGCTTCCACTGCAAGACAGGAATCATATGAGCTGAGAGATAGTTCGTGACATAAAGCAAATTTCTTAGATATAAAGTTTCCGGCAGATCCAGAGTCGACAAGAGCCGTAGTATTAATCATTCTTTTATCAAATTTAATAATCACAGGAATCAGTACACTGAAAAGTGCAGGAACATGGGAAGGACTCACCGATTGAACTGGTGTCTGAGGTCGCACGCTGCAGGTGGATTTCCTGTGCCCTGATTGACCGCAGTACAGGCATAGATGATTTTGCAATCGATGCATTCTTTCTTCATGGGTGAGACGGGTGAAACCCAGTTGCATGGGTTCATCAGGGGGCGTGTCACTTGAAACATGGAGCTGTGTGCGAGGATTTCTACGGCTGCGAATCAGATGATCAAGACGGATGGTAAGTTCAATGAGTTCGTTCAATTTCTTTCCTTCGTCACGGCAAGCCAATTCAGATTGTAGATTGGTATTCAGACCCCGTCTGAATAGTGTCTTCAGTGTATCCTCAACCCAGTTAGTTTGAGCGGCGAGAGTGCGAAATGACAAGGCGTATTCTGCAGCTGTGTTACGCCCCTGTGTAAGAGAAAGTAACTGCTCACCGGGGCTTCTCCCATCTGCTGGGTGCTCGAACACTTCCCGAAATTGCTTGAGAAAAGTTTCAAATGTGGGATAGTTACATTCCTCCTCCTTCCATATCGCTGTAGCCCATTCCAGCGCTTTCCCCGTTAACAGGTTGCATACAAAAGCCACCCGACTAGAATCAGTGGGATATAATGCAGGTTGTTGGTTAACAAATAGTTTGCATTGCAATAAGAAGCCTTTGCAGCGAGAAGGTGACCCATCAAACTTTTCAGGAAAAGCTAATCGGGGACTTACGGTAGCCGGAGCATTGGAGACATGCGTTGGTTGAGAAGCTGTCATGGTAGCAGGCGGGGTAACTGCAGGATTCGGATGACGGAGTTGCTGCATAGCTCTCACCAGTTCCTCCGTGAGAAAAGTTAGATGGGTGAGTTGTTGATGATGGGTGGCTAACTGAGTGGCTTGAGCGGAAAGTTCAGTCGAGACTTGTGCTAAAGCTGCTGGATTCTGTAGTGGCGAAGTCTTCTGTTGTGATGAGTCAGAAGGCATTGAATCCATTTGCAAGCTTTATTAAGAGCACACATACAAACAAACACAAAGGGGCAATCCAGGAGACAGAACGTGGGACAGGCAAAAGTTCAAAGGCAGGCAGATATCTTACTGGTCAGAATAACAGGCTGGAGATAGATCAGGGGCAGGCAGATGTCTTTCGTAATCGTAGAACAAGCACAGGGTCAGAAACACAGATCAGTCCGAAGCAGGGAGTATGGAACGCTCAGAAATGACAGCCAGGCAAATCAAGACTTCGCAACGAACCGGAGCGTGAGTGTGGTATATATACACGAGAGCTGATGAGTTGCACCTGGACCGTAATCAGTGCCAGGTAGCAGGGCTTATGGGATTTTGAGTCCGTGAGTCGAATCAGAATTCTGGCGATGGTTCCCTCTGGTGGTGCACAAGAGGGTTGGCATCGCCCTCATTTACAACAATAATAAACATCTCTGTTTATATGTCTGATTTTAAGGTCAGTTTCTTTAACCCCTTAGAAATGCAATTTTAAAATAATGAGAAATCAATTAAATTTATAATATTTAAGGTAGTAACATGAATTGGTGTCAGTTGTATTGTATTTCAGTTGTATCAAACCAAATCAATATTGTAATTAAATCATCTTTTATTTTAGCAATATAAAATGCAATTCTTGAAGACAACAATGAAATTGTCAATTCAGACATTAATGAGATAAATGGCTCTGGTTGGGATCTTGTATAAATGAAATACTACTGGCTATTCTATTAAAAATGAGAGAACTACTCAATATAATTTCCACCCTTTATCTTGCTTCATTTGAAATCATGCCAAGACACTAAATAATGCTTTGTGTGCTTCGAGCAACTTCAGGGGACATTTCTATTCTCCATTAGCTGGGGGAAAACATTTCTTGAAAGTGATTTCAACAATATCATTCCTCTATGTTCTTATTTATAGCTGTGGACCTCTCCATTCTCATAGAATATTTAAATGTTATAGAATATATGCTGTACTTGATGGACCAAAAATTAAAAAGGGGAATACATTTTTGCACACATTCTATTAGGATTTTTAAGGCTCATATTTGGTAAATGATGAAGAGAGATGCTTAGTTGAAGATGTCCTCGCTGCAGTCTGTAACACGATAATGTACTGTAGCTATCACATCCACTGGACATTGTAAAGACCCATATGGTAATGCCCATGCCACTGTGATGGATGGGTTGGGGTAGGTGTAGATGTTAATAACTGATTGGGTTCAGATTTTAGCTCCAATTTGCCTCAACACACCTGCTTGGATGTTTCTAGAAAGCTTAGTAAGGGCTTGGTTAGCTAGCCCAGGTGTGTCTGATTAGGTTTAGAACTAAACTTTGCAGGACACCGGCCCTCAAGGAACAACTTTGGACATTTCTGGTGTAGACGTTAATATCCCACAATGTAATGGGTAATTTAATAAGTAATATGAATATCTTTCATTTCTATCAACAACCATTTGCACAGGCTTGTCCAGCAGGTTTGGATCTGATCCAGTTTGTCATCGTGCTGTAGACTGCCGTGAGGACACACTCACTTAATTTGGCCTCTGATTTCTCTTACCAAGGCAATCGAAAAAACTAGTAAAGCATTTTTTTGTTCACTGTCAGCAGTGTGTTTTAGAGCACTATAAGTAGACAGTAAAATAATCTCTCAGGCTTTCATTACAAACTGCAGACTGCTCTTAATTATCAAAGCACATGGACAACAGTTTTAGTCTTTGAATCGTAATTAAGATTTTTTGTCTGATCCTCCATCCTGTAGGTGGCGCTGTTGCCTCTGAACTTAACAGTGGGCAGATGGCAGCATATGTGTGTGAGCTGGAACCGAAGAGCTGGAGCATGGCACGCCTACTTAGGGGGCAAACTGAAGCTAGAAGGAAGTGACCTGGCAACCCGTCACAACATCCGACGGGGAGGAACTCTCATTCTTGGCCAAGAACAGGTACGTCAGATTTTGGCCATTGTCAGTATTTGCCAGATGGCGATAGGTCAAGATGGGCAGCTTTTTGGCATTTTCACACAGCATGTAGAAATCACCACCATCTGAAAAACACCCTTTGTTTATCTCTTCCTTTACATTTTTCCTGCCCTTTTCATCCCTTTCTCATTAACCACGGGTATACTGATCCTGGACCTAAAGGAGCTTAAAGTCATCCTCTTTTCCATGTTGTTTTTTGCAGTCTGGGTTTACACATTTAATCTGTGTGGATTGACTATGATAAACAAAAAGAAAAGGGAAACAGTGTTTTCTGAAAACATGTTTCCATGTTTTCATTTCACCAGTGAATACACAAAGGGGCAGTTCTAGTATCTGGATTATCTAATACGTACATTTGTGGATGTGTGTAGCAACATTTCTTAGTATAATACTTCCAAATAAAATACCCTAAAGGGCACAGTGAAAGCTATTTAACAATTTATGAAGCAAATCTTTTAACAACACTGGATATTAAAATTGAAAAGGTCACAGTATCCTTTGTCTCCAAGTAAGGATCAGCTAAATGCCAAATGTTCTTTCACTGATTAAAAAACTTGACATATTTTGTTCCATTTCTTATGCATTGTCCAGACACCAGACTTTTATTTTATTGTCCATAATCAAGGTTTTTAGTAAGGAGTAAAATTACATTATATCTATCTCAATTAAAATAATTGAAAAGTGCCATCTGAAATTTCCATTGAAAATAAACGTTTTTCTCAGCCTCCTTTGTTTATGTTGAGATATTTTACTTTCAAGACCAGGAAAAGGATTTATTCTTTGCCATAAAAGTGATATTACTGAACATTCACACAGGAGCCTGTTAAAAATACTTATTTCAGAGGAACATTTCAGACAGCATTTAGAGGTTATTGCATCTAATCTCTTCAATTATGTAATGTCAGGGGTAAATACAGCTAGGTTAAAGTAAAAATGTGCTTTTACTTTAAAATGAACCAAAAATTAAAAATTCTATTATTTTTTTACCCACCCCTCACATTTTCAAAACCTATTCAAATTTCTTTCTTCTGTTGAACAAAAAAGAAAATATATTGGGAGATGCTGGACCCATTGACTTTCATAGGATTTTTTTTTTGTACTATAGAAGTCGATGCGCTCTATTTTAACGATCTAGGCGCAAAGTTCTAAGCACATGGTGCAAAAGCATTTAGAGCATGTCTGAATCCACTTTTGTTATTTTAAGAACGGAAAAATACGCTCTGCACTATGACGTATAGTTTAACAAGCCATGTTTTGAGCATAACGTGCATTAAGTTAATCAGAGTCTCATCTCCCATGCCGTTATGATTCAGTTGAGTCACATCATGGCACATTGGCTCTTTACATGGCAAACTTTGTAAGTTATAAAAACCGAATGCTGCACTACAGAATAAATGGTTAAACAGACCATCTGCAGCGAGGATAAAGAATAAACCTCTTCTCTTTACTTTTCCTCTCTACTTTACTCCTTTACTTTTGTGGATAAGTAAACAGTGTTGTGCGCACTCCACTGAAGACATCCGTTAGCCTACATACTTATTTTTGTTTGTTAAGAGCACAGATTTCTTTCAAAACTATTTCTAAATTCAGTTCTAATTTCCAGAAAACCAATAAATGACACTAAAAATAATAACGAAGTGTGGTCAAAAAGCTGACTTATATCCAAACACATGTCTTATTCTTTTACCCCATATGGTGATGTATACATCTCCAAAATTGATGGACAGACGGACAAATCAAAACTCGTTTTAATAAAACAAACATAAATATACAAATAATAAATAATACTGCTAATTATAACAATGTTACACAAATTGTCTTGAATAAACCGAAAAAAAGCCCCCCGAGATGAAGTATGCATGGAGGCAGTGGTTTTTATGTTTATGTAGAAAATAATAATTTTGTAACATTTTAATCCTTTGATTTAAAAAACAAAGATATTTGTGTATTACTGTACATCTTGTCTGTCTTAAGCAATGTGTAAGCATTTTGGACCTGCATATATGCTCTGCACTGGACTTTAGACCAGGTTTTAGTCTGTCAATGCAGCAGTCTATTTTAGTTTTTCAAAATAGCAATGCACTAACAATACGCCTTAACACACCTCCTTTTTAGACCATGCAGCACACCCATGATTCCATATAGGGGCACAAATCAGATTTGCTATTTAAAAAACGTGGTGCAAAACATGAAAATTAGGGTTGCGCTGGTCTGAAAATGGCAACAAATCACGCCAAACACATCTTGCGCCCTATTGCGCTGTGGGATGATAGGGCCCAATAAGTTCCATCAACCAGCTTTTTTCCAAATATCTTCTTTTGCATCAAAATAAGAAAATAATCTTAAATCTACATGAGGGAGAGTAAGTGATAAAATGACGATGGTTCTTTTTGGGTGAACTGTCCCTTTAACATTTCAACAATTAGTATATTTTATGTAATTTCTTTCTGAGCAGTATGTTTTTTTCCTGTCTCCTGCAGAGCTCAATGGGTGGTCTTCGTTTTGACGCTTCGCGAGCTTTAGTGGGAGAGCTGTCACAATTCAACATGTGGGACCGGCCGATTTCCCACACAGAGCTCTCTGCTCTCGCCCTCTGCAGCACGGGCATGCTGGGTAATGTAGTCCCATGGACCAGCCGTGAGGTGGAGGTTTTCGGAGGTGTCACCAAGCAGCCGGCTGAACATTGCGAGCACAGCACCAGTGCCAGACAGTGAAGGACTCCTAAAGGGGGTTATGCTAAAGGTCAGAGGGTCAATGACCAGGGTTTAGAGATGGCAAAGATCTGTCAGAAAGAGCTAAAACAGGCCATCATCTGACATGTATGTTGATTTCTTTTTAGAAAACACTTTTTAATAGTGGCGTTTGCTGGATCAAGACTCGCTATCATTATTTCAGAATTCAGCACATAGATCGTGCCACACCATTTGTGCTACAAACAAGAATGATACCTCAAGTTTAGTGGCTTATTGAGGAAAAGCGTGCTGTTATTTTTCTGCCGCAAGATAAAATGGTTGGGAATGTACTAGACTTAAGATGCAGGCGCATAAACTGGCAATATTCAGAAGCGATATGCAGACATGTCAATTTTGCATAAGCGTACAAGATTTACTGACAGATTTAGCAATGGTTCGGTTTGGTCAAGTTTGTACACAGTGAAAGCTGTGTGTTTTGAAAGTCTCATGTACATATCTACACTGTTGATTGTGGAAGACTTTTGTCAGCAAAATGTAATTAATTTGATGAGACCTTACCTTTACATATACACCTAACCTATTCATGCATTTTCTCTGATTGAATAGCTATCTGATCTTGAAAATACCAGGTGTAAATGCTTTCTGAAACTCATTTGAGCAACCTTTTCAACCTGGTTTTAGCATGCATTTACAGTGGTCTGCTGGGGATCTATACTGTTGATTTCAGGCCGAAGTGTTGAACATATTTTGGTGCTGTTTCACATAGTGAAGTTTATTTATAAACTAATTTCGAGAGGATAACGAGATTATGATTGAACACGGCTGGTTCTGCATTATCTATGTATGATCCACCAATCAGACAAGTCCTAACCCACTATAAAGAGCCAGGATTTCTCACTACAGTCATCTTCGATTTGAAGACTCCCCCCTTCCACCCCTACTCCTCCCCATTTCCCTTCATAGTTCTCAACACCTACCTGAGCTCAGAGCTTCCCTCTCACCCTGCAAATGGGAGGGAGCCCAGGGCTCAAGGACCTTTTGGCCTCTCTCCCAGGACACCATGCCAAACTTGCTTATAATCAATCATTAGCTAAGTATCAACTCTTGAAAGGACTATAAAAGTACCATTTGTGCAATGCAAAGGTCCTACAAATGCAAATGTAAAAGGTCCTTCATGACATTTGATGCAAAAAAACTATACTTTTAAGAGTGAATGTTGTTGAAACCACATATTGTATGTATATTAACAGTAAAATAAAAGTGTGTGTGTGTGTTATATCAGCTCTAAGTAGTCAGATACCACAGCGCTACTACAATGCGTGTCTGCAAATACAGTGTATGACCCATAGGAAATAATTATTCAGCAAGCAGACGGGCAAAATGCCACAAAAGTGTCGCAACTTGGAGCTCAATACACGTTTATTAAACATAGTGAGACAAAGGCTGCTTTCACACCTGGCTCATTCTTTCAGAAGCTGCTGCATTTTCTCATTTCGCTCAGGTAGTTTCTTTGGGCATTTGTGAATACAGCAATCGCACCACATCTCCAACAAAGCCCAAGTAAGCAAGTAAAGCTATCACACTCGATGGACCAGGTTTTATTACATCGTACATATGTTCAAAATGAAATAAAGTAAATTTGAAAAAATCTGATTTATATTAACTTTTTCGTAGACACATTTATGTGGACAAGTGTAAATGGAGTAGAACAAATCAGATAGCAGACTAATCAGTGAAAATGTATGAAGAAACAATAGGCCCACAGAAAAGCCATACTAGGGACCAGAATCATAAGCTTCTGAAACCACATACTATTATCATGTCTAATATCTAATATTATGGCCAGTTTGCCATCTAGCAATATAATAAAGAGTATTCAGAAAACCTTAGCATGACAATACTACGTTTACAACCCATAACTTTACCATTACCAATGCAAGGTTTGTGTCTGACAGCAACACTTCATTTAAATGCTTAATATTATTTACTAATTAGACCTTGTTAGACATCAAATGCTATCACTGATGTTTGCCACTCTGATGTAGGATATTCAGGTTGAGTGTTTGATGAAAGGATTTATTTTCGTCCTCAAAGTTCAAAGCTAATATTTGCATACTCATTCAGATGTGTTGTTATTTATACATACAGTGTATTTGATTCAAGTTAGTTTTGAACGCACACACTCTCAATCATCTTGTTTGCTTTATACCAGGGCTCTTTTATATGTTTGATCTCTTCAAGTTTTTTTCTTTAGCTGTTTTTGAATCACTGTTTCTATGGTGATCCTTCCAGCAGGCTGATTCCTATTGGTCAGGTCAGCCCTGCTAGAAATCTTCTCCATTTAAAACCCTTTAACATCATCAGAATCGCAATGAATTCGAATGAAGGGAGAGGAGAGCAGCTGGAGGCATTTTGACAGATGAATATTTCAGCAATATATATGAAACACTACATTAACCTTTAAAGCCATGGTTTAAACCCTTTACAATGTGGCATCTGCAATGAACTGTTTTCAGCTTTCCTGTCAAACATAATCTGCAAATATACATACAGACAAACCAATATCTTCTCATGCTGAGAAATAAGCATATATAGCCTATATAGATTTATACCAATCTAAAAAACACATTATATTTGTAAAATAAGCAGCAAACATTCCATATGATGAATGTATAATATTTACACCATTATTATATGTAACTTCCACGATGTTATCTGTTGCTCTTCATAACTGTGATTGAATAATCTTGGCGGTAAAGAGCTTATGTAAATTACAGCACACATATGATATGCTTTAATGTGGATTGTGTTCAGTGTTTCTATGTAAAATGCAGCAGGCTGGAAAATGCCTGTTTTGTGGCCTTGTCAAACACAAGAATGCTGTTTCAATTGCGCAATCACTTATATACTGAACAGATGGACTTAACTGAGATGATGGTTACATTTACAGTATGTGTGTATGTTTTATAGGCATGTATTTTGAGATTTCATAGCCATATGAATGAACAGCAAAAAATGGCTGGGAAATGTGTATCTGAAAGTGTTTGAACGCTAAATATATTTCTTTCTGCTGTATAGTGTACTTGCTGTTGTTAGTGCAATGCCTGTTTGTTTGCATTTCAGTGGTCAATTTGTGATGTTTTGTTTTTTTAACATACATGAACATGCTTTAAAGTGTATTCAGAAAGCGCGGTTTACAAATGATTGTACATAAATGTTTTTTTTTCTGGAATATAATTGTTTTTGAATTAAATATCTTGAAAGTCGGACGTTAAGCTCTCTATTTTTGCTTGAAGATTTTCTACCCTCTCTTTTGGATTTACTCATTTGCATTTCTAAACTCTTTCTCCTGTAATGTTCTTTTCTTGCATTCGGTCTGTGTCTTTGTCTGTGCTGAAATCAAATGTGTCCTGATCTAAGATGTCCACGAGAATTAAAATATCTAGCACAACAAATGTCAGAGTTCTCTTTTATTTCTTTCTTAAGTTTGTATTTTACTGATGGATGAAATGCACAAATATTTATAATATATGAGAGCATAAAATGTTTCCTATAGAATTGTATATTATATTTCTGTTTATTAGTTGTCTTATTTCTATTTGCCTCATTCTTCCTTGTAAACATTGCCTAAGCACAATATCTCCTCTACATGTATAGTTGAGGACAAAATTATTAACCCTCCTGTGAAATTAAAATCCCAAATGAAACATTTTTCAAACACTCAAAAAAATATGTTTGATGTTTGTTTAAATTACTTATTTAAAATGAGCCGAAATGACACAATTATTGTCACTGAATATCTTGCAAAATAACTAAACTATATGTACTCTCATCAAAGACAAAAAAAAAAAATCAGTTATCAAAACTAGTTTTTTAAAATGTGTGCTTTCTGTAAAAACAGCTCTTAAAACATTTGAGAATGAATGAACCTTTTACAGAAGGGTACTGTGGCGGAGAGAGCTTAACATGCTGCTGTAATTATGCAAAAAAAAAAAAAAAATGCAATAAACCAATGCCAGCAAACTGGGAAAAGATCTTCAACTGTTTGACAACACACATGCTGCAGGTCCTCACAACGCATACACATTTTTAAAAAAAGCACTGCATTTTCACACAACACAATCAATAATATCAAAACGTGCTGCATTTTCACAGAACGCAAACAAATTAATAAAATGCGCTGCATTTTCTCACAATGAAAATTTTTTTTAAAAGCGCGCTGCCTTTCCTCCCAACACTTTCAAATAGCATGGAACACATTTGGAAAGGTTTCAAAGAGACCCTAAAATGTGACAGACCTGGCTATTTAGGTTATGGTTATTTAGGCTAATAAATACTAAAAACATAGAAATTGGGATATTAAAAGAAACAAAAACAAACAAATAAAATCACCTATTAAAGATCTCCTACAACTTCACTGAGCATTAGTCATGGCACAGCAGCGTCCATCATGTTTTTGGGACCACTTGAAACATTTCCGTTGTGTTCTGTTCTTGTGTTGTGAGAAAATACAGCGAATTTTCGCAAAAATGTTTGCATCGTGAAAAATGCAGCGAGTTTTATTCACTGTGTATGTGTTGTGAAGATTTGCAGCAGTGTGCTGTCAAACAGAAAAAGATATTTTCTTAATTTGCTGGCGAACTTTAAAATTGCATGTGTTTTCTTAAATTACAGCATATTGAGTTCTTTAGTCCACTGTAAAATGGCTAATATTTTTGTTCTGCAAATTTATATTTGTATTTTAAGTAAGGTACCAGATATCAGACAAGCATGCAATTTTGTTAGTGCCTTGGTGTCAGTGCATTTTAAAATCAGAATTTAAGCAAAAAAAGTAAACCTTTAATGTTGTTCAACAACATGAATTCTCTTGAAACAAAGCAAAATGTTCATCTGTGTCTCCTAATTTAGTCACCCGACTACAATTCCCACAATTTTACGTTTCCAGACTATATCTGTATGGTCTCTGATGCTCTCTTCTATATCCTTTGTATCAATGGATTAGACAGTGGGTCTTCCATCATCTTTGCCCTAGCCAACAAATTCATCTGACCCAGCTCTCTGGAGCTTCTGTGCATCTGTCTACTTTTCATTTTCGCTGTCTTAGAGTACATAAAAAAGACTCAGTGAGCTTTAACTAAATCCACCTCTGCACCAGAGAAGATCTTTTAAGGTTCTGCAAATGTTACCTCAAATTGACCTTCAAACGTTCATTTTGTCGGTCTTATTTCATCGTATTTCATTCTTTGTTCTAATAGTGAAAGGCAAATGGAGATTCAAATGTGATATACTCATTAGTTAACACAATTTCAAGATCAGCTATAGATGCCTTTTTACATACCAAGGATGTTTAAATAACACTGTACACCCTTTTCAAGTCAGCATGAAAGAGAATTTGAGCTAATCTTTTCTAAGTGTGATTTATATGCAGGTGAAACGAAATGAAGCATATGACTTCCATCAAGAATTGATAAGACTGGATCATTTAATATCAGTTAAGCTAGCTTCAGGTGACTGACAGCTTGTGCTGTCCTCACACTTGAAGTAATCACATCATTAGAGATGAGATGTCATTGAAGAGTGGGAGGAAGTTATTAAACTTCTGATTAAAGCTTACATGCCCACAGATTTAAAAATTATATAATTTATATAAATAATTTACAATATATACTGCAATACAAGGCCGTTAATGCCAAAGGCATTAACAAGCCCAGCCCAATAATCAAAAATAGGTAAATTGCAATGCAGTCTAACAGAATTTGTAAAGTTTTGCAAAATTCTTTCAGTAAAAACTGTGTGAAGATGTACATTGCTAAATATTAAGAAATAAGAATTTCTTATTTAAGATTTGTGAGCCATTTTGTGAAAGAAATGTAAAACAATAAATATAAGTGATATCTGATGAGACAAACAACTTGATATTATTTTATGTGTAATTAGAAAATTATTGCAAAACAAATATATTTTTATATATTTTGCTCGTTCAATGCATCAGACATTGTTTTGTAATGCAAACATCATGTAATGTGCATTTATATAGCGCAATTATCATGTATGGCCATCCAACCAAAGCGCTTCACAATCATGGGGGGAGGGGTCTCTCCACACCATCACCAGTGTGTAGCATTCACTTGGATAATAGGACAGAAGCCACAAGACAATGGCGCCAATGCGCTCACAACACATCAGGTATAGGGGGAGTGAAGAGACAGTGAAAGAGATAATTCAGTGGATGGGATGATTGGAAGGCCATGATGGATAAGGATCGATGAAGGGAAATTGGCCAGGAAACCTCTGCTCTTTATGAGAAGTTCCATGAGATTTTTAATGACCACAGAGAGTCAGGACCTCTGTTTATTGTCTCATTTGTAAGACAGCACTCAAGTACAATAGTATCTGAATGCAGCCTTTATTATGCAAGCTGAGACTGCATCACTCAGCAATGCAATGTCAGACACAATGCACTCAAATGGGGCTAGTGGCGTCACTGTGACGGGTAGGGTTAGGGGTAAGGGTTAGGTGAGCTTATTAAAAAGCACTGGATGCAGCCCAGATCGCACTGCACCAGGTCTGCAGCCAGACATCCCTTTGTGTGGCATCCCTTTCACTGTACTGGTGCATTAGGACTCACACAGACCAGGTCAAGCATTCCCTGCTGGCCTTACTATACACAACTTGCAACAGAAACCTAGTTTTCCTATGTGTTCTCCCATCCAGGTACTGACCAGGCTCAAGCCTGCTTAGCTTCAGGAAGTAATCATTGGGGGATGTGGCCTTAGCCATATTTTAAAATATTATAAACACATAAGCATTAGATCTGAGTTGTCATGGACTGGCATTAAGTGCAGGGAATAACAGAGATGAAGGACACAAATGCAGCTTAACATGAATTTATTTAAACAGTCTAGAAAAAAAATAAAATAAAACGAAACAAAGGCAAGAAAAGGAATGCTCAGATATCACGGGATTACAAGAAATGAAAGGAACTTGTCAGAAAACAAAAGGCTAAGGCAAGAGGGCACATATAGTGAAGCAAACAGTAGGATAACTAAAAAATTAGGAAACAAGGAAGTGGATAATGCTGTGATATTCATTCATTCATTCATTCATTCATTCATTCATTAATCAGGTCACAACAGCGGAATGAACCACCAACTTATCCAGCATATGATTTGATGGTGACTTTAATTCCGAGCTCCACCATCCTGCAATGTTCAGCTGAGATTCTCCAACTGCGTTTGAGGTTTAAATACAGCTCTAAGAGCGCTGACACTGTACTGAAGGTTCAGAAAAGCAGTGAAAATTCTGAGAGAACAGACAAACAATAACGCACCCTGAGGAGATGTGGATGATGAAGATGTGTAGGAAGTCTTTTAACCTCTAGTCTCTGTTATGAAATACTGATATTTGTGTTGGCGGTGTTGATGGCATCTCGCTCTATAACATCTGCACGTGGACTGAAAGAGATGAAAAATTAAAGATATAAGAGGTATTGTCCAGCATTCCTGATTTGGTTGGGATAAAACAAAATATGCAATGTAGGCTACTTTTTAAAGCTGCTTTGTAAGGCTGCATGAAAACAATTCCACACACTTGTTCACCTATCACACTGTACTCTGGCCCACATTTCCTAGTAGTTCCCTTAATCTCCAAAATGCCGTAATTCCAGCTGGGATTACCTCTCTTCCTCCTATGATTTAGGAGAGAAAGGCTTTAATGCCATTATAATCTACAAACAAGCAAGGTTTGCTGCCAGATTTATGTGGCACACCAACTGGCTGACCTTATATTAACACAAAAACACACTTTCCAGCCATTTCCCTTTATTTTTGTCAATAATCGGAATTCACTAACAAAAAAGTACACTAAAAATGACTTGTTGTTGGTTCATTGTAATGCGTTAAACTAAGTTAATTATGTTATAACTTAATGGGCTATATGCTCACAGACCTTAATTTTCAGCCAGGCAGACCAAGGGCTTCCAGTGAACTTGTGTCTTTCTATGACAAAATTGACACATTCAGGATCTGATTACTTCAAAAATCGATCTTCACTGCCTGTTAGATATACAATGTGAAGTGGGTCTCAGATCGGACAAGAAACACAGCATTAAAACCTATTTCCCCCGACATGTCTTTAAAATATGACAGTTTATTTTACCCCAGTATATTCAATGTAATTTCTGCACTAACCTGTTGCTAATGATGGGTGCTAGTGGTTACAATGGTCTTTAATCTCGTTTTATGCTTGGACAGCTAAATGAAAGCTTAAGTCTATTTAACTGAATGTATTGTAATTACAGTACAACATCGATGCTGTAAAAACAACCTTGTGAAATTGAAAATAGTCACATTAAGATTGGATAACAGATTCAAATTATGGGCAAACAAGGGAATCACTTCCTTCAGTACCATCATTAAAAAGGGAGAAATTTTAAGCTTTCAACAATTAAAGGACAATTTTCTACTTGAAAATCAAGATTTTTATAGGTACGTCCAAGTGCGAAACTATTATGATCAGAAAATAAAAGGAAAACTTGAAGACAATCAGAATCCACTGATAGATATAATTAAAAAAGCTCACACATCAGGTATAAAGTACAAAATAGTCTCTCTGATATATAAGAGTCTGAGAAGTATGAAAACACAATCCACAAATTATATAAAAGAAAAATGGGAGACAGAAAGTGGAACAACATTCACTGATAAGGAGTGGACAAATATATGGGAATTTCAATGGAAATCAACAAGCTCATTAAACTGGAAAGAAAACTGTTGGAAAAACATTATTAGATATTTCAAAACACCAGCACTAACAGCTAAATATACAAATAAGTCTCCAAAATGCTGGCGTAACTGCGGATGCAATAAAGCAAACCATTATCATATCTTTTGGGAATGTATGTATATTCAAGAATACTGGAAAGAAATACAGGAGGCTCTTGAACATATATTTGAAAAAGATATACCTCTAGAAAGTAAATTGTTATATTTTGGCTGTGTGGATCCAGATATGGTAACGGCAGACAATAAATACCTTATGCGTGCTCTCATGGCTGCCAGCAAAAAAGCAATCACACGCAAATGGCTACAGCAAGAGCGACCAACCCTTAGTAATTGGATAGACGCAACTATTGAGATTTATACAATGGAAAGAATCACCTTCGTTGTCAACTTAAAGAAAGATATATTCCTGAGAAAATGGAGGAAATGGGTTGAATATATTTTAGTTAGAAGACCTGACTTTATTGCTATAAATGAATAGAAGATGATGCTCTGATAGATAAATATATGCTAATGCATGTACATGTATATGATTACACTTATTCATATTATAATGTGTCCCCATATGTATAATGAAGATGGCCACTTGAGATTCCTCTTGAAGGAAATATATTATGACATGTGTTCTAACCCTGGATGTAAATAGTGTTTTAATTTTCATTTATTTTTGATTATTGTATTTTTATTTTATCTTTTTCCTATTATTATTATTATTTATTTATTTATCTATTTATATATTTTTTATTTATTTTATTTATTTATATATTTTTTTATTATTTTTTTATTTATTTATTTTATTTTTCTTCTCTTTATGCTGTTTTTCACTTGATAATTTACAAAATTTGAGTACTACTATGTAGTAAATACACCTGACAATAATGCACGTAATTTTTATACCACCTAAGTTCACATACTGAGATACCAATGTACCTTGAAATGCCGTATGATTGTACTCAATTGAATGTTCAAAATAAACATAAAGTTGCAAAAAAAGAAAATAGTCACATTAAGCTTTCACCAGAAGTTTATCGTTGTCTTTAAAACTCTAGCTGTGCATAGTCTATTTTATAGGTCAAGCAAGCTGTTTTAAACCAGTTTAACGTAATATAAGTTCAATGGACTCATAAGGTTAATTTGATTAAGCTTAAAAAATTAATGACATCAGGATTTTATTTTATCTTCATTTAATCTTCAGATAATTTCTTGGAAATGCATTGGAAATCATTATATGAAACATCATATTAAATATTATATTGAGTTTCAAAGGATAAAGTTGTGTCATTTAAAACAATCATACTGCTAACCTTATGCAAAAAAGTACTATTAAATAAGTACTGTTACTTAAGTAAAAGAAGGTAAGTTAGACGGAGGCGGAAATGAACATGTCACGTGAGTAGAAGGTTGCAAAGGCCTGGATGTCTCCATGACAACACTAACGGAGGAGAGAGTCTGTATAAATCGTGACAGAACGGTAGGTTATATACATGTGTCGACATAAACGAGCGTTTACGGAGCTTTTAATGATTTTCTTGTTTATATTCGTCCATTTTTTCAGTCAGTTCTCCGTCGTTGAGTAATAGGAGATAGAGACGAGCGCGCTAGCTAGCCAACATTAGCTCAAAGATGCTAAAAACAAACGCTAAATCGACACGTGTTATTTTAATTTAAATCTTTATTCATATATTACGATGCGCCAAGACTGCTAACATCAATGCGTATGACAGTTACTTATTATTTGAGCTCATTAAAATTAGTTTGATATTTGCAATTACATGTTGGGCTGATTCGGTTTCCAATCTGTATCGTGCAGTTTTCTCTAATCATGCATTAATTCAACGAGTTTATTTGTTCACATATGTCAATGTTTAAGTAAACACCAGTAGTGCTGACCGTTTTAAAGAATGAATGTTTGTGCCAAACATGTAAAAGCGTTTTTATTAATTTATATTATATGGTTTGTAGGACAGTTGACAAATAAGCTTGCTTTTAACTTTTTAGCAGAAAGGTTTTAGATCACGTAAAAGGAGAAGAAAGTAAACGTTTAGACTCGGAGACATCTTGGTGGCCAAAATAAAACGATATTCATTAAAGTGAATTAATATAGGCTACATAAAACGGTGTTAAAGTATATGCTTTTGAATCATTTAAATAAATGTTTATAAACATATATATATATGTTTATATATATATATATATATATATATATATATTTTTTTATTTTTATTTTTTTATTTAAATATCAATTCAAAATGTACTACATGAATACACAAAATAGTCTATACTTATTCTGATCTGTACCATATAGTCATTCATTTTCTTTTTGGCTTAGTCCTTTTATTAATCAGGGGTCAACACAGTGAAATGAACCGACAACTTATCCAGCATTTGCTTTATGCAGCTGATGCCCTTCCAGCTGCAACTCATCACTAAAAAACAAGTTGTATTAAGTAGTATTTTTATTTTGAATATCAGATATGATTAATATCTAAATTAGATATGATAAATATGTAATTAGAGATGATAATATCTAAAAGTTAGTTCTTCAGGACGATTTCTGGTGCTAAATTTTAAACTTTTACTTGCTTTAATGCTTGAAACCCTCGCTTGACCCATTAGATGTTTGGAGCTTGTTATTTTCTTCGCATTTTAAAATAATATTTGAGTTGTTTTAAATGGTCAAAATTGTGTGAAAATTAGGCAAGTTAGGTACTACTACATATCTCATTGGGCATGAAATCAGTATGCACGATAATAGACAGCTGCTATTGTTTTACATGGACTGTATGATATGTTAGCGTTTTATTTTTGTGAAACTATTACTTATTTTTTGTTTATTAGCATAGTTTTGTTTTATTATGTGGAATCATAACACTTACAGTGTAAGTTAAGAAAAGCTGAGAATTATTTATTTACTTTTGTGTAAATGCCATAGCCATTTCTTTTGTTTTCAGACTACAAAAGAAGACATTTTTAAAAATTAGTTCTACTCATGCTTGTTTATATCATGCCAAAAAATAGCAATCAGCGCTAAGATATAAAAAAAGATAAAAATATCACCGAAAGGTATTATTTGTAGGTGTAAAGGAGGTATAAAAATTGACATTTAATAATAATACCTAATGAAAAGCAAAATTAAATCAATATCTACTGCAATGCTTGTAATATGCACTATGTGTGACATTGATTAAGGCTGCACAATAAATCAATGTATAAATTCCTAATTAGTGTTTTGGAAAATAGAGCCCAACTAGATAACAACAGTTAAACTAAAAATATTTTTTTTGCAGCCTCAGCATTCATTTGGATAAATACGCATATTTGATGAGTACAGTCACCCTGCAAGAGAATTTCATATTTTGCTTAAAATTCTAATAACATTTCTTGAAGGTTTACTTAAAGAGATGCATATGTGTTGTTCATTCTCTTTCAAATGCTATGCACATAAGAAACTTCACCCAATTTTTAACTACATGTGAGAGGTTTGACCTAATGTTCTAGTTTTCCTTTTCACCAGACAGGACTAATCCCTCTGTCTCTCTCTCTTTCTCTTTTTTTTAGTGAAGGAAAGGATGGCAGAAACCGGTGATGGTAAAAAAGAGGATGCCGACTACAAAAGACTGCAAAGCTTTCCGCTGATCAGGGTGGGTGCAGCACGGCGGATGCTGTGACCTAGATACAAATTACCAGTTATGGATGTGTCTCTGTTTGTCTGCTAAATCATTTAAAGTGCTCCATTTTCCATCTTTCATCAAGAGTTTGATTTTATCATGATTCAATTTTTTAGACCATTATGCATGCATAGACGTCAATATCAGGCACAGGATTAACTAAATACAAATAAAATAAATAATTGCTACTCTTTCTTTAGAAGTTATTTCTTGAACACTATTACAAATTCTGGGTTCTACACAATTCCTTCCATGTTTTTTCAACACAAATCGATTAAGCTAACTTAATCGTTTTTACTAATTTAAATGAATTTAATATTTAAAACAGTTAGGTTGCCCCAAAAAAACACAAAGAATTGTGTTGTTTCAACTCATTTTAAATAAGTAGTTTGAACATGCAGCAAAAGGCATTTTATGAGTGTACTTACAAGCTTGTATGCTTTCTTGATTTCTGCACATTTCTTGCATTCTGTCTTGATTTCTCAGCCTTATTTTATATCTCCCTAGTTTTCACATTATTAAGTTTGCTTTTCACAATGTTGACCTTTACCCGTAATTGAAAGAAAATGTGCAAAAAGTGTGAGATACATTTAAATTGCACAAAGGTACGTTTTTAAAATATTATGATGTGAAGTGATGTATGCATGTTAGTTACACTGCATCTTTATTTAACTTTTATTTTAATCTTTATGGATGACAATCTTTTTCAATTATAACTTCATGCACTGCATTGGTCAGAACATGGATCCTCATATTATATATTTCTGTTATAAAAAGGGTTTGTTCTACCAAAATTAAAATTATATTAATATCCTCATGTTTTTATTAACCCTTGAGGTCATTGTTCATCTTCGAAAAAACAAATGAAGATTTTTTTCGGTGAAATCTGAGGGCTTCTTCATCCTACATAGACAGCAAGTTTCCCAACTCATTTAAAGTCCAGAAAAAATGCCAAGAAGACATCCTCAAAACAGACCAAATGCCTTCGGTTGTTCAATCAGAATATTACTAAGCTATGAGAAGAGTTTTGTGTGAACATAAAACAAAAATTACAATTTTATTCAGCGCACACTATACTGACACTGGAGAAGAAATGGCTGAATAAAGTTGTTATTTTAGTTTTATGTGAGCACAAAAAGTTTTTTGCTGTCTATAAAGGATCAGGCAGCTTTCGGATTTTATCCAAAAAGGTGAGTAATTATTGACAGAATGTTCATTTTTGGCTGAATTATCCTATTCAAATACTTTCACATCACTGGAAGTAAATGTTTTTGAAAGTCTCTAATTCTCACCAATGCTGCATTTATTTCAGCTAAAGTTCAGTATATAATATATAAATAATAAATACAGTTTACACCAGTGTTTCTCAATCACGTTCCTGGATGACCGCCAACACTTCATGTTTTGGGTGTCTATTTGTCTGTCACACCCATTACAGGTGTTTCAGTCTCTGCTAATGAGTTGATGATTTTGATTAAGTTTGATAAAGGAGACTTGGAAAATGGGCAGAGCTGGTGGTCCCCCAGGAACATGGTTGAGAAACACTGGTTTACAAGTATACACAGATAAACTAAAATATTATGATCACCTGCCTAATTTGCTGTTGGTCTTCCATTGCTTCCACCATTCATTTTAGACACTTAAATATAGGTTCATATAATGATATAGATAGCCATCATATACATTCTGATGCATTCTAGCTCCAGCAGACTTACATGTGTTACATTAGAACTTCTTTTGGCTTACATCAGATTGGATATCTTTCTTTGTCAATAAGCCTTGGGCAGTCGCTGCTTTGTGGTTTGTTCCTCCACACACACAAAAAAACTATTGAGTATTTCTTACCATTTCTGACCCGGGGCAACCCACACACCTTAGCATTTCAAAGAGACTGTACATTGACCAAGTCGCTCTTGTCAGAGTCACCCAGATATTTATTCCTACCCATTTATCTGGTTTAAAAAACTCTGATCACAAGAACAGAAAGAAAACACTAGCAGTTTGCTTACCAACCAATCTGGGGAGATGGTCAACTACATTATTCAGTTTAACTATAACCTGTATATATTTTGATGCTGAAGCTGTATGCATTAATATAGTATACTGCCCTAAACAAGATCTAGAGACTAGTTTCTGTTGTTTTGTCTTTAGCATACTGATATGCCAGAGGAGATGCGTGTGGAGACCATGGAGCTCTGCGTCACGGCCTGTGAGAAATTCGCCTCCAACAATGAGGTCAGTCAGTTTATGTGTGCTTATGTTATGAAGCGACTGCTATGGGATAAATGTGCTCCCCGGGTGACACAGGTGGGGTTGGGCTTCGTGTTTCTGTCTAGTAGTGAGTCAGGACGCTTCACACACTGGCAGTCTGGCCATCTGGACTGTTCTACTAGCCTACATGCTTTCATCTCGTTGGTCCGCTCTATTTTCAGAGTGCTGCCAAGATGATCAAGGAGTCCATGGATAAGAAGTTTGGCAGTTCGTGGCATGTGGTGATCGGTGAGGGCTTTGGGTTTGAGGTGACCCACGAAGTCAGGAACCTACTCTACATGTTCTTCGGTGGAAGTCTGGCTGTGTGCGTTTGGAAATGCTCCTGATGTCACTTCCTGTCCACACGATCGCCAGTGTGAGATATTTAAACTCATGGACCCGTTTTATCTATGCAGCCCTATTTGACTTGACGTGTGTATGCGAGTGTGCATGTGTACAAATGTGTGAAATTGGGAATGGTGAGAAATATACAGATTCCGGTGCACTTCTGCAGAACATCTTTCTCTATCTTAAATTTTATTGGCTTCAGCTTGAGCTGAACACTTGGATTTGACCAGGTTTACCTTTTTAAGCATTTTAATAAACTTTACTGGAACTAAGTTCATTGCAACTGACTGCAGGTCCTAGTTAAGAACATTTATAGTTTCTGTCTGGTTTCTGAGCTTTTTACTTTCTTAAAGCATGTTCCTGGTCATGTTGTGCACAGTTCATCATAGCACTTTATTCCAAAGAAAACCTTTGCCTAATATTTCATCAAAACAAATGCCTCACCTCTCACAAATTTCCTTTTCCATTGGCATGAATAGCATTTAACATTTAGTCTTTGTTTTTAGCAAAGTCGTTTTTGCTTGACTCAATCATTTGTTAATTTATTTTAGTATATAACACTTTCTTCTAGTCAAATTCTAAAATTGATGATTTCTCTTAGCAATACACTACTGTTCAATTGTTTGGGGTCAGTAAAATTTACGTTCCCCAAGGCTGCATTTATTTGATCAAAATACAGGTAAAAACTACAATACTGTTACTCATTCATTTTCTTTTTGGCTTAGTCCCTTTATTAATCTGGGGTCGCCACAGCGAAATGAACTGCGAACTTATTCAGCGTATGCTTTATGCAGCGGATGCCTTTCCAGCTGCAACCCATCACTGGGAAGCATCCATACACACTCATTCACACACATAAGCTGCGTCTCATATGTCATACTATGCACTCATGCACTTTGTACTTATACACTTACACACTCAACAGCATAGTATATGTATACAAGTGTCGTCCCAAATGGAGCACTAATGTTTTTTATTATGCATAAATTCAAATTGTTACCAAATTATGAAATAATACCTGCCATGAGTTTAACCGAATTTACCATCGGGAGACTATAACCACTCTCGTAGGAAAATTTTGTTTTCACCATTCAAAATAAATAAAGTTATTTAACATGTGCGCCCCATGACTCTGCCCTTTCCGCTATCTGAGCAAACCTGCGGTCGTTGAGTGAGTGAAGGGTCCATCATTACACACTTAATTTTACCAGCTGAATGAGTGCATCATCAAGGTAATTAAAATGCACATTTTTAGAATTTTCAGTGTAAACACACTACTTACACTATTTATACTACAAAATGGCGTAGAATAGTACATAGGTATGCGATTTGGGACGCAGCTATACACTATGGACAATTTAGCGCACCCAATTCACCTATATCACATGGCGCATGTTTTTGGACTGTGGACTTTGGACTATTTCAGTACAATATTTCCAACTGAAATGGAATTGTGTTCCTCTCATTTTTCATTTTTCCTCTCAGTTAAAGGGGTGTGGCTCGTATTTCACCCATGCCGTCAGACTGACATTATTACAGAAGCACTGCCATTTCAGAGCAGATATTAATTAAAGATTACCAGAACAATTTTTTGGGGTGGATTAACTTTACATTTAATAGTTCTCCTTAAGATCAACTATGTGCACTGGTGAAATAAACATTTTGATTTCACACAGACTTTAAAATGTAATTAGTTTTTGTGATGGCAAAGCTGAATTTTCACCATTATCACTTCACAAACGTAGGGCCAGATTTACCAACAGCTTGAGTCAGCATAAACTTCTTTTTTCGTTCAGCTAATTCGTTTAGTTGTATGAAAATGTATGATTTTAAAAAGAAGGTTTGGCACCCAACTCCACCCCGCCCCTAAACCCAACCGCCATTGGTTGATGAGCAAATCGTACTAAATTGTAGAAATTAGATTGTACCAGTTTATTTGATTTAGCAACTAAATCAAAAAGTTATGAATTGCCGTAAAATTACGTTGGTATTTCTTAGGACAGTCCTGCATTTCACATCTCATTTTAGTGTCCTGCAGTTACAACCTAATTAAAGGTAACCAAGCTCACGGTAGAACACAATCACTATCCATTCACATTCGCTATAGACTGAAGTAACAGAAGCTTGAGAATGATCTCTAATTTTCCCTCTCAGTACTGCAATCTTACTTACTTCAGACAACATGTGATGTATTCTCCTTGCTCTTTGTTGTCAAAATGTTCATCTCATAAATACAGTCAGATTTGGCTTGCTGTCAGTAATAGCATGCAACATTGTCTATTGTCTAGTGTCAGTCCAGTTTTCAGAGTTGAAGTTCAGTTCAGTTCAGTGTGGTTTAATTTTCCATGCTGAAAGTCTAAGCACCGAAGAGCAAATCCATCGATGCACAGCTCCACAAGTCCCAAACCAAGCAAGCAAGCAAATAAATAATAGGCCTAAATAAATTAAATATTGAACTTCTATATGAACAATATGCTTTTTTCAGTATTTGTAACATTGCTGCTTTTGTTACATAAAAGGGTTGCATGGTTATACTCTATGGTAGTATCGCGATACTATGGCTTCAAAATACTGGCAGTGCCACTGTAGTTTCCAAACGGTAGTATCATCATTAACTGTTTATCTACAATAGATAATGTTGGATGTGGAAAAGTCATTAAAACGCTCACACACTTGTGCAACAATAGACCATTTTTTTATAGAAAAGACAATCTTTTAAAAAGAAACGACTCACAAAGTAAAATTTTGAATTACTTTAGATTGTTACCTGATAAGACTGAAAAAAAAACTATAGATGAAAAGCCCAAAATAGCAACAGGAAACATTGAAACAATTTTTGACCACTTCATATAGCCTTATTTCTTTTTGCTATCTTTGTAACAAATTTAATTTGGTACAATTTGTTTTTGTCTTTATTTTTTTTTTGGTCTGTTTTCTACAAAATAAACAAAAAGAATGAATACATTTTAGGTGAACATAGTGACGTAGTTTTAAGTGACGTGCAAATAATACTTATTTTAATGAAAAGAGAATTGTGAATTAAACACAAGACCTATTATAACATGTAAAATATAGTATTTCTGACAATTTTCTTTATAATTTGAGTTATGAATTACAGTATCGCAGTACTGCTTGGTATCGGATCGTAAGATGAATTAATCGTATCGCGACAACCCTATTGCATAACTACATTTTTAGGAAGTAGGCTAACTTTGACATCATGAATATGGATTATTTTCTTATCAGCCCCACATATTTGTCTAACACCTCTAGCAGAGAGAAAGAAAATATATATTTTTATTCCACCAAATATATGTCATCTGCAATTTACAAGCTTCTCACCTTATGCCTATGGAGAACAGTAGTGTATTACATTAGAGAAGTAAAATGGATTACTAGCGGCAAGATACATTGTTTTAATGTAGCTCCATCCATGTCTTTTGCAATGCATATGCACTGATGTCCTGTGCAGCCACTGAAGTGTCAGTCTGCATTTCTGTCTTTTTGAGGCTCTGAACACTCTGCTGTATTTGTCTGGCAGGTTGTCGTAGGAGTGTGCTTTCTGTGTGAGACTGTGCAGGACAGAATGTGCGTCCATTTCATATATCATCTCTCTCTCTCTCTCTTTTTTTTTTCCTGTGCATGTCTCTTTCATTCTGTTTCCTGTCCAGCAGTGGCTCTCACAGTGGGCTGCTCTGCCACCTGTTTCACATTTCTCTTTCTCTGTTGCTGTTTTTTTCTCTCTCTGTCCTTTCATTCTCACTCCAGGAATCGTGTGCCATGTTTTTTATGTGTATGTAACCAGCCTTTCTGGATCACGAATACTTGAATGTGATATGATTATGACGTTTTTTTTTGGTGGTGTTTTTTTACTTTATTCCCGACAGTTTCTGTAGTTGTGCAATAATACAATTGGTACTTTTTACCATTTTACAGCCCTGAATTTCATAAATGCTGCCATTCACTGTCTTAATTTGTAACTCGACAGGTGAATTTTGTTCAGTTATTACACTGTAAAAAATTTCTGTTTTCTGTTTTTTGTAATTCTAGTTTATTTTCTCCCATTTATGATTTTAAATGGCATTGGGGTCCCTGATCTTTCTTCCAAATGACTTTTATGAACATTTTTAATAGTTTAAAGTGATTTATTCACTTAAAAAAAACATTTTCTTTTTTTGCTCGTTCAAACTATGTATTTAAAATGAGCTGAAACAACAAAGCTCTTGAGATTTAATTGGGACAACTTAATTTTTTATGTTCAGTCCACATAAATTGGTTAAAATGTTAAGTTAGCTTAATTTATGTTGGGAGTCGGGAGAGCATGATTGAATTGTGTGGAACACTGCATTTTTTACAGTGTTGTTGGTGTTGTATATCGCAGTACAAAAACATTTTTATAAACTGCCAGAACATTTCCTGATATTTTTCCAGACTTATTTCTCTATATTCTTTCTTATACATTATATAATTTCAAACTACTAAAATGTCAATAAAAGTCACTTTGTTAAACTCAGGGTTCCCATGCTTTCATGAACAGCAGATAAAATGACTTTTTAAAGCACCATCAATATTAAAGCAAGCACTTTGTAATTCATACCCCAGCATATGGAGCGCCATTAAAGTACTTGACATTTCACCTGGCTACACCTAATATTTATGTGAAATATACTTTGAAAAAGTTTGACCATCTTAAAAAGTCATGTTTATCGAACTTTAAATTTGCTGAATACAGTGTTGGTAATATTTAAATGTAGTTTTTGAAATGTTGAAATGATATTTTAAAACATGTTTGTACATATTTAAATGGAAGATTATTTATTTAAGAATTTATCATTTTTTCACTCTGTTTTTGACAAATTTAGTAGAATTGTTGAAATAAAACCATAAACAAATTTAATTTAAAATTTAATTCAAGAACTTTCAATGACCTATGTTTGTTTTAATACTTTCCAGGCCTTAAATTCGCATGTCTAAAAATTAAGTACTTTTTAAGAAGTCTGGGAACCTTGTAAATTGTAGAGTTAGAATTTTCAACATCAAAAGTAGACCAAGCAGAGATTAAAGTCCCATAATGCAATTCAAAAAACAAAACAAAAACAAAAAAAAAACAGTGAATCACAATGTACGGAAATTACAGATTTTTTTTACAGTGTCGTTTTTAACGCTATTTTGATGGTACGGTGTTCATGGAGAATTTATGCATTTACAGAAATTGTGCTTTTTTGGTGATTTGATTGCAAGTGTAATTTCTGAACCATGAGCACAACTAGCAGAAATAGCAAAAGTAATGACCATTCTGATGAAACTGTTTGATCAGTTGTTCTGAGAGCATTGGTTGTGCCAATGTTATTGTGTTCAGCTCAAATCGGCTGTTTAGTTTTATTTTGTAATAATAGACACTTCAGTAATTCCAGTCTAAATCGACATCTCTGACTGTACAAGGATGCACTCATCTTGTTGTTTTAAATATGTTTTTAAATCTTTCACCAAGTTGAATGGTTACTGTTTTACACTTTTGATACTGATCTCATATTCAATAGGTTACAGGTGTAATCCAGAGAAACAATTTCCATGACAATAATGCATTTTTTTCAGCTGTGGCAAGATTTTAACCGAATGTTCACTCCTAAAGATCCTGCAGTGTGTCAATGCAGAAATCTTTTATGGTTTTTATGGTCTTTTATTCAATTTTTAATTGTTTTTATGTCAACACTGTGCAATAATTGCTCTGTTTAGATAAATAAACTTTTAAAAAGAATCATGAGTCTACTGTGATATCAGAAGATCCAACATTTGACTTTGTATATCCCACAAAAGTGTGTGTTTCGCTTGCCAAAATGATTTACTGCCGAAGGCCTAATATTTCACCGATGATGTTGCTGAATCTGCAGCTTGGTGAAATATGGAGAAACGGCCTTCAGGGTGAAAACTGACTCTGACTGTGCATAATTTTAGGCGTTCTCGTGAATATCATGTGCTAGAAATGTAGGCACAGTTGAGAAATCATATTTTAAAACTAACATATTTTATCATTGCATTGAAGTCATTTTTCTTTAAAAGATATGTTTTAATACTCTTGTGTTTAAAAATGAACAGAGGTTCTTACGGAAACGTATGCATATAAATGTATAATAACACGGAAATAATAATTTCCGTATTGTCTATATATATATAAACTATTAAATGATCATGATGTATATTGTTATCAATACATGATATGACATAATAAACATATTTCCCCTAAATAATAAAAAATAAAAATACTAAATATCCCAGCTAACAGGATTTCTTGAGGTGCATTCGTCAATAAAGATCCTAAATTAGTTGTCATCCCGAATTAAAAATAGATTTAGGAATTGAAATAAAGCTCATGTATTAACACTACAAATAGTACTGAAAATATTAGCAATGCATAGTGTATGTTTATAGAAACACAGCCCGAATTATTTATTCTTTATTATTAGGATGCTTAAGGGTTAATATAAATGTTAATCTATTTGACATATTTATTCATGTATTAATAATCACTGCTGCGTATTTCCAATTTCCATCCAAAATCAGATAATATCAATTAAATATTGTTCTATTCCAAGTAGCCATATTTGCGACTGTGTCTGTTATTGATTTTCAATAGTCATTGTCTTCTTCTTACATATTCATAAATGTTTTATCAGT